CCTCCCAGAAAGAGTGTTCGTTTGATTTCTTGCTGGCAAACTTAACGTGGAAGACCTTGGCTTCCTCTCTCCAAAAGAGAATCTCTTGACGTCACGTTCTGAAAAACGATTGGAATGTTGTATTCTTGCCAGCACGATGGGGTCTATTTTTTGGTTTATGTAAGGCTCAGAAGATCTGCGTTCAGAAAGAACAGTCAATGTTGAAGAGCACCTTGAACGAACCGTTTCAGCGCGTAGTCTGTTTGGAGGTGGTTTACAAAGCTCAAAGGGCTTTTTGAATTTTGCGAAGCAATTCTTCCATATCTGACGGCAATCTTTGTTCATAAACAACAAGAAGAAGAAGATTATGCACAAAAAGCCAGGAGCCACAAGATTGATTAACGGTAAGACTGTGTTGTAGCTGGGAGACTTGCAGTCTTTCGATGTCTGAAAAACAAGATATACAATCTTTTCACATTGTATTGGTACGAAAAAATAGCAGTTGAAATAACATCATGGAAAATATAGACGTTAGCCTGCGTGAAAATGGGGCTAGAGAGAGAAGATTATGTCAAGCGCGGATCCACACCTGTTTCCACCGTTTTACAGAAATCGGTCAGATTTTTCATAATAAATATTTTTCTAATTATAAAAACATTTTCCAAGTTTAAACCTAGGCAATATCCTGCCGCAATGACGCGAAAACCCAGGAAAGGGGACTTTAAGAGTTAAAACCAAAACATTTCTTGGGGGAGCCTGCCCCCCCCCCGCCCCGCCCTCCCCGACCCCGCTAGATAGTACTTGAGCCTTCGGTCCTCGTTTAGGCAATCGGTCAGTATTTATCCTAGATTCGCGCCTATATTCCTCTATATCAAAGACACAGCTCTTAACCTCGTATTAAAATAGAGGCTAGCTAAGGACTCGGTTATGGTCTATAGAGGCGATTTCCGCGTGGAGACAGGGAACTGCCATGAGATCCGACGCAAGTTTACGCTCGCGATATGAAATTTCTCATATATCTCATCAAAAAAATCGCCTGTGTAATCATGGTTTGAAATGTAGACCGTAATGGTTTTTGATCTGAGAAGTTACGTCGACTTAGATGGAGTCATACGTTACCTGTAGACAAAGAAAATAAACTTCGGAATCGTGGATAAAACCTCCTACGCAGTATAGGATTACAGTGTTGATGGTTAAGACAATTCCCACCAACAACAGCATAACGACCGCCATGCTTATGAACTGCCGCTCCACGCGCCTCATAGAGACTCGCTCATCCCTCGCGCGGATCACACGTTTAGTTGAGTCCAAACGAGCCTGGCAAGAAAAAAAAACGACCATTAGTGTCCACCAAGCTGATTACAGTAGAACCTCGATATAACGAACCTCTAAATAACGAAGACCTCGGTATGACGAACGATTTCCTTTACCCCAGTAATGGTCAAATATATGAAAAAGAACCTCGATATAGCGAACAAAATTTGCCAGTCCCCCGTATCGTAGCCTGCGAACAGCAGACGCATTTCCGGTCGTCGCTTCTCTCCCTCCGAAAAATAGCGGAGGGAGAGAAGCGACGACCGAAAATGCCTCTGCTGTTCGCAGGCTACTTATATCGAGGTTCCACTGTAACAATGTTTTAGCGTAATCTGGGCGGCTAGTGGAAAGCAGTTGAACACGTAACAATAGTTAACATTCAAGGGCCGTACAGGTTATCAGCTATCCATTTCAAACGTTTTCCCGGTGGAATCGCTTTTATCTACGAGTCCCTTTATGGAACTAAGCTAAAGGCTAATGGTATCATGCGGCCATCATACAAGACGAGATGGAATCCCAGTATACGTGACCAGCAGCTATGCAAATTCATTGGAGCAGAAAAAAGAGCTAGTTTTAACGTAAGAAAAGGGTTCAAAAACCACAGGGACAGCAACATGGCTGCCGTTTATTGTTTTGGAACACGAATATGGCGGACGCTAAATCATGTGAAAACGCTCTGTTCTTGCTCGCCGGAGTCTGAGTCCGAGAAGCACGAAACTTTTAGAACTTCCAGCTGAGGGCCTCGTTATGTTACCCATGATATATAGAGGAGAAGTCGTTACGTCACGTTCCCATGGCAGCAAAATTTCTGAATGACAAGAACCCGAAAATTCACTTAAAAAGTGAATTCGCACTGTTTCAAACTTTATCAATCTTATTCAATTTCATTTAATTTGTCAAATCTTCGCGAAATTTGCTGGGGTTGAATCCGAAAGGACCGTATTTAAGTTTAGAAAAAGAAAGATAAAATTTTTGTGTTGGGTTTACCTACTCTATAAAGCAAGCGCGTGAAATTAGGGAGTTTCACGTCGCAGACGTGTAACAGCGGCTAAGAAATGTACAAAAAAGCGCGATGCACGTGCAAAGTTGTTGTTTTGCTGATATAAACTTATTGCTTTTTAACTGTTTTCGTTGCCGTCGCCGTCGTGGTTGCTTAAACTCCCTCTTGTCGTGATCCGGAAATTTTGCTACCGTGGTAACGTGACGTCACACTTCTCCCTCTATTGCAATGCTACGTTAAGCTTATCACGAAGGTGAAATATTGGATGTTCTTGCGAAGCCAGCGTTTCCGCGCGAGTTCGTCGAGAAAGTTGGGACGAGAGAATAGACCTCTTAAGTTTGTATGTTTTGTTTTCCCAATAGAGGTCCCAGGGGAACTTGACTCTTTTCTTTTCATAAATTATGCGTACTTATGTACCTGAATAAGACGAAATTTGAAACAAACAGTTCTCTAGAATATTATCACATGACCTGTATTGAGAAAACAAAACATACAAGCTAAAGAGGTCTATCTCATTTCCTTTGCTGTCGCTCCAACGTTCGCGCAATAACTCGATTGGGAACGCTTGGTACGCAGGATATGGAAAACGGGAAACGGAGCTCGGGGAACGGGAGATGAATAATGGATACAAAACATAAAAATAGTCGATGGGTTTAGTGATAGGGCCAGGATTAAAGCTATGTTTTTGTCCATTTCTAATTTTTTCCTTCAGTGAGCTCTTTCCCTGTACCTAGTTTTAGTAACAATCGTGTCATGTTTGACAGGGCAATGAAAGGTAAGACATGTGACTAGAAATAATTTTACTACCTTTCTCAGACACCATACAATTGACCACAGCAAACACAGCGACACTCCTAGCGAGAGCTGCATGGGTAGCGTGAAAGCGAAGTAAGCCATTTGAATGCTGTCGGTTCCAGCGGCCAGAAGATCCGCGAACACAAACCTGTATCCAGGGGGAGAGATGAAAAGACAGCCTAAAACAATGCCCACGGGGCCCAACCAGCTGAAGACAGATTGCATGAAGTGGAATTTCATAGGATGCTTGAAAACTCCTCGCCTTTCATGCACGATAACGGCGTAAGTATTCACTATGAAGCACATGGCCCAGAAGGAATGAGCCAGACTAAAATAATGCGATGTGGCGCCTGAAAAATAAGGAAAGATATACATTGAAAAATCGTAACATTTCCTCATGTTTTATCACATGGTCTGAAGGATATAGCCAAACAGAGGGCTAGAAAGCCGTTGGATATTTTACACGGTATTTCATGAATTGTATTCCAAGGTCGCAAAGTAACTTTCCGGCCAAGCTTCGCTTGGCAAAAATCTTACGAAAAATTCACCCTACAGACAAGGAAGTTGCTGAGGATCAAACTGCCTCGTGAGGTGCTTAACTCAGTGACCAAAGCCAACTATTGGCAAAATTTCCAGATATCTTTTTTGTAAAATGGTGAAAAACAAATATTGCAATTAAAGTACTGCTAAAGAAGCTTTGTTTGAGTGGTCACCCTAGTATCGACCACTTTAGAAACGAGGAGGAAACTGGAGCCAAAATGCGTCCCGCAATCGTTTCTGGGATAGTTACAGTAACAGTCCCAAAAGTCTTTTCGAAAGTTAACTCGACCCAGTTTACTCCTCGGTTTTTAAGTAGCGAATGGGATCTCATCCACGTATACAAAGAGTGTTGCCGCACTTTACGCCTACGACGAAAATCTGTACTTGGATAAGTTCCTTGCGATCGATTCAAGGAAAATTCGCAAATAATCGACAAATTACTGCAAGAACGAGGTGGAATAATATCGATGGTAAATGAAACAAAACAAATTCATTTTTTAGATGTCGTTTTGATGCCCGTCGCCATCGTTGTTGCTTGGACACCAGAAGTCCGTTGCGAGGCTGCTGAATACGTATTGTTTGAAAATTACCTAGGAGTTTAACAGCGAACGAGGAGTGGCCACCTAGCTTCCAATATTTTTCCTCTCGACAAAATGTCTTCCCAAGTCCAATTCGAATGGGAATCATCCTGCAGCAAGCTAAAAGAGAAAAAAAGAAAAGAGAAACCGTAGGCGTATTTAAGCAAGTTCAACGACCCTGATTGCAAAGTTGCACTGGATAATACGATAGTCTTAAAAATATTCCAAGCGTGCTTATTCAACACGGGAATTTATCAGGACGTGCGTTGCGTTCCCACGATGGGGCATTTGTTACCAAAGTTCTGCCTGGAGTTGGGGAACTTGTCATTGCTGAACTTCATATTTTCTGCTACTATTTTATAAAAAGGAAAATCTGTGCCATATGAATAGTACACAAGCACAACCTCTGGGGGAGGAAAAAAGCAGATAACTTGTAGCCTGAGAACTGGTACACTCCACTTCCGCCGTTTTACTTCAAATTATTCACTTGGTTGTCCTGAGAAAACAGCCGACATTTCATGACACCACTACTTGTTTCCCTGCGAAATGACGTCTTAGGACCAATTGCAGAAATTCCATACTGATGACGTGTCACTACCCAGATCCGCATTGGTCGTGCCGCTAAGAAAATTTTCTTTTAACCAGTTAGAAGCACTACCCGGATCAGAATAGTGACGCGTCATCAGTATGGAATTACTACGAATGTTCCACAGACGTCATTTCGCGCGGAAAACAGTGGAGGCGTCGCAAACTTTCGGCTCTTTTCTCGGGCTATCTCTTGGTGAAAGTCCTTCACTCTTTGGCGGCCTCCAACTGTCGCCTCGGTTCACGTTGTTGCAAATACGATCACGCCGGGGGTATTTAAAAGTGACATTACAATACAAGTGTATTGTACTTCAAAACCTTCCTTTCTTAATAGAGACCCAATTTAAGCAATACTTCTTCCACTTTCGGCCCATTTTCTTTAGACCTTATAACATTACATTAGATATTACTTACCGAGCAGAATACAGCAAATCATGATGTGAAAGCGAAGAACGTGTGGAAACTTGCGGCTAAAAACGTTAAGAGGGTATTGTTAATGACGTCAAGAGAGTGCGACCCTCAACCATTTAAAAATCAAACTCGAAGCCCAAAATCAAGCAACAAGCAGGTTGTGGCGCATTCTCCTAAGCAACTTTAAGATTATTCCTGCATTGCGCATCCTTACTCCCCATAACTTTACGAGTGATAAGCGCGCGCACATTAAAAGATGGCGGCTTTTTTTTACGACTGGAGCGCTAGCTTCTGTGAGAGGTGAATGAGAACGAAGACATATCATTTTTTCTTTTCTTTTAAAACTAGCAGTAACTTTTTTTTTTTAAAAAAATATAATATAAATTAAGTAGGTTCAAGAAAGGATGAACGTATGTTAGCTAGCACTATTAGGAGTAAGCGGAAAGAGTTTTCCAACTAGGCAAAGTTTACTTACAGGGTTTTTATGCTGGCCCAAGTAACGAACGTGATAACTGTGGCGATAAGAACCAGCCAGAAACCCATCACAACAACGCCATAATATATCTTCTGGGTTAATGGCGACTGTGTTGTCCAGTCACACGGCGGTCGACATTGACTTCTTTCTAGGTCAAGAATTAGCGGGGAGTTGCATTTGAGCGGTTGACCTGTTAGTAAAAAATGGTGGGAAAACTTGAGCCCCATTCACCTTGAAGTTTAGTTAAACATAAAAGCGTAAAAGCTGCTAACTAACTTAAATTGATTGCAAATTTAGTGCAATTAAATTAAAAAACATGTTGAATTCATTTAAATCCTATGTGAAACCTGTGTTTCAGTTTTCCATGTCTGTTTAGTTGGTGTGAATGGGGCATAAATCACCTTAGAATGAGGAAGTTTTTTTTTTCTCTTAAAGTAGTCTTGTAGAAGGACAACTTTTTCCCAGCGACGGGCGAATTTGACAACTGCTAGCCCTTCGAGCAAGTTCCATGTTTTGAGAGAGAGAGAGTGGTTAGCTTGCGTGGCGAGAGCGCAACAAATAAGGCGCGCAGGATTAACAAAGAGCAGCGGACACGTACGACTCCTCCTCACCTCACGGCAGCGCCACCGTTCTTATTTGCGCCTTAAATTTATCACACGCATGCACGCATGTTAGAGAGTCGTAGGTCACACGCGCCCGAGCCGCAAAAATTTGTAACTCTTGGCCTTGCTCGCAGGCAGGGTGGTTCCTACTTGTTCAACTATCTCGTGAGAAACAAAACTATTGAAGTGCTTGTGATAGTAAAGAAATATGTCAAAAAAATAGATGTACCTTGTCTTGATGACTTATTTGGATTGACCCGCGTTTGGCCATCTCTTAGACTCGTGGTACTGCGGAAGAAGAAAAAACTTATACAGTAAGCCCCTGCTAATACGAAGGTACATTTTTTGTTAGGATTGGCAAAAAAGGTTCTTTTATTTTGGGTAGCTATTGGCAATTTAGGCTAAGTAGGTTGTTAATCAAGTACTTAATTTCTATGAAGGAGATATAGTTGTTGACAACCAGAAAAACAAAGAAAATTGAGTTTGTTGCTTAAATATACAGCACGGGTATTTACTATTCACAACTGCACATTGCAAACCTTATTTATGCAAAGTTCATGAAGACAATTACAATCTGTACTTCTTAAAACCTTTCTTCGTGGTAGAAATTACAGAAATACTTCTACTTGAAATTACAGTTGGTGCAATATCCTTTTGTAATATCAATTGGCAATCTCGGAGTCAAACTTCTTAGTTGAAATGTGAGTTATTTTCTCGAGCTATTTCGTGAGTCTTTTGCGGGATGATTATTTTAATTGTTGAAAAATAGTCGGAAATAGTTACGACTAAGCCAGAAAGAGAGAACAGAGAAGAAAGAAGATTTCTATTTCAGGGTTGAACAGGGTCAACGCTTATTACCTTCAAGTCGGACCATGATTTTTCGGGATACAATTGAGGCAATTTTTGTTCTTCTTGCTCAGGAAAATGGGACTACTGCACAGTTTATGAGATACAAGAATTTCAGTTCCTGGCTTACTTTACAGCGTAAGAATGCTTCACCCCATGCCACGGAAGGAACTTACCCCTCACGGGTGCGATAATCGGAACACTAGTCTATACGAAGGTCTTTACGACCTTGTATTTCGGAAGTGATCAACCCATCGATTGAACATCTAAGGAATCAAATCATGCCTCTATGAAGATAGACCGGCACGGACACCGCATGCAATATCCACCCTCACCTTTGGGTTTATGCTCTGTTCATTTCAAAGTGTCAAAAGTTTTGACAATTTTGAAAATGCTTTTCATGTAACTGCGGCTAGACGACAGATGTGCTTTCTAATCAAAGCAATAGACAATAAAGGAAACCGGCTCCCCATCTGCCCTTCCCCTAAGACAAGATTTTACCCCAGGTAAGAACTTGGTGTTGACTTTGGGTTTAATAGGGGAGGGGTAGATGCAGGATTACGCCGGTTGATGCTACTATGGGCTATGACACTACTGAGCCACCATATTGGATTTTGCCTAGACTGATATTAGACTTGTTAAATTGTGATAAATTATGCGGTTTTCGGTTTTATCATTTTGAATATAGTGGAAACCGAAAGGTGCTAAACTCTGAAATACCAAGAAAACTCAGAAACTCTGAAGGAAACTGGAAAATCAATATCTCGAGTTTCTATCCCGAATTAACGACGATCATGTTCTGTCTGTACTGAAATCAATAAGAAGATACTTAAAACACCTCTAAAAATCACTGTTACAAAGTTAATGTATTACAAAGCAGTGTTCAAAGTCTACACCTCGCAAAAAGTCGTCTTTTCCGGCGGATAAGCCGGGAAAAAGTAGGCGCCCACTCTGGTCTGATTCAGCTGACCAACACAGGTCGAGTGCATTTTTTCTTTAAATGGTCACACGAGCGCTAGAAAGATTGAAGACGTTCTTATGTAAGTGAAATTTTCGCGTACCCGTGTGTGCGACAGACGACTCGGATGAGACTCTCACGAAAGCCGCCGTCTAATACGTTTGTAAGGGCCACTTTTGTTTCAGTTCAGAAGCCGCTCTAAATGTAGAATAAATAACAAATTTAACAATAGTTTTGAACCACACGCATTCCAGGAAAGGCCCTATTAATCTACGGAGTACTTTAACACTTCGCAGTTACTTTCTGTCCGTAAAATGAAGAAGCCGCTGGAAAAAATAATCACAAATACAACAGTCGCACGCGTGCCATATCATATAAAATGCTAAAGAATGTTCGGTACTTACTCATTCATGTTGTGATGAGGAGGATGATCCGGTTGAAAGACGTAGAATATCGTTGGTACAGTCACTGTGACTACTAGAACCAAGTGAACAAGATAGTAAGTCAAACTGCACCGGGAAAATGCCGACGATTTACTCCTCGCATGCGATTCCGATGACATAGCTTCCATATTCTCAAGAAGATCAATGTTTCATTCATAAATCGATATTGCTCGTCGTTTAGTGTTTTTTTACCGCCCCCAAACAGAAGCTAAAGACATGTAAACAAGTGAAGTCTAATCTTCTGAATCTTTTGGTAACATGACACGGCGGTGACGACCCAGAAATGACAGTGACTGTAATTTTAGCTCATTTTGTGACCTGTTTACACAAAGGTGGGTGTCCCTTTCAACTTTTTATACGGAAATATGTCGAGAGAGCCCAAGATAATAAGCTTTAAAAGATACTCGAGCTTAAGGCAAAATGTCGACAGGGTCATCTCAACATGTTACTTAATAATATGAACTTTATTTTCCCAGGTCGCTAAAATCTAAAAGAGAACAAACAATTAATAAGACAACTTCTTGATTCTCTTCAGGACCGATCAGGAAAATGTCTAATTTCCGGCGAACTCATTCGTGATGCTTATTAATAAATTAGTCATGTCAGCTCTGCACGATTTCTGCCAAGTGTCGCTCACTTTTTTTGAACGGGAAGTTGCAAATTTGGATCATAAAATCCGAAGTTATTTTATCGTAATCTTCTGTTGGCGGGTAAACATCCTTTTTTTTCTTAAGATTGTTCAAACAAAACGCCTTCTTTGTCTACGCAATTTTATTTGATCAGAATTGCAATCATTACTTAGACATTCGAAAATTGTTCGCATCACGTACCAATATCACTATGTTTTCTTTTTTTTGGAGAAAGATTATTCAGTTGTGAGCTATAAATTCAGAAGACGGTATTTTTGTGGTACGGGTGCCCACTCCCCTAGAAAGAATCTTTCGAATTTAATCTTTCACTTACATGACACGATATACCACAGTGATTCAGTTAAATATCATTCTTTTCTGTATCCATTTTTGTTAAGAACTTGGCATGGGAATCAACAAATTTTGTTGCCGATTTATTGATTCTGTATTTAATTTTTAGCTGATATGTTTAAAATCGCTTCCAAAATTTTTCAGAGTTTAGTGGGTAAATGTTTTCTTTCATTGATGTGATCATAGTAGACTGAATAAACATGATGGTGAGCTTTGAATAGTGTCACTAGGTTCAAAACCTCCAGGAGACATGAAAGGGAAAACCACTCTTCAGGGCTCAGCTGCAGCTAGAAAGAATTAGACTTATCCAGTTTCACAGTGTTTTGCACTATTTCAATGTATATGATTTCCATTTAAACGTTGTCATAAAAAAACTGTTACACATGAGGAGAGATGAAAAAAATGTAAAAAGCCAAACAGGAATTAATTCTATGTCAATAAACTTTATTCTGGCACGAGTCTCAACAGACCTTAAAATTTCTGATACAAGTCTTCCTTTGTTCTACTCAACACCGCGCTTTTACTTTTCATGTTTAGGCAAATGTCTCCAGAAAACTATAAAAACTGTGCTTTAATACGCCGATTAGTGTATAAATATTTCTAATGAATAAAAATAATCGACTAAATAAACACTGGAATGTCAAAAGTGGAGCAGCACTACGCAAATGTGGAAAATTGTACCTGCCCTAACTACAGACTCTGGGTGATGAGAAAAAGGCAAACACAAAGTTTGCTACATGTATTCTGTAAACGCAAGTGAATCATTGTTTTCAGAATTTTTAATACCCATATCATGCTTTGAACAGCAAAAAACCAGGGGTCACTAATTCCTGTTTCCTATTTCGCTTTATACATTTTTCTTTCAATATTTTTCTACGACAACGTTATTGTGTCGGTGTAAACAAGAAATTGTTCATGCTTGTAAATAGCCACCTGGTTAGCCTGGGAGCAAGTTCTACCGGGGCGCTCTCTTGCCCACCGGCCCCCGTTCCTCCGGGAACCCTCGCAGGCTACCAACTGGTAAACTATTGTAGCCTGCGTGTCAAGCGCCGATATGGGGGGAGGATAAGAGAAACAGGAACGGGGACCGGGGAAAGAGGAAAAGACACCATTTCGGGTTTTTCTACTTCTCCCCTCGCCTTTTAGCAACGTGTCTTTTGGTTAACTGGGGAAAGTCTATGCTTTGTAGAAACATCACTTGGCGGGCTATGAATAATGAATATCTTGTGCACAATAGTCTGAGGTTTAATAGTAGAAAAAAGTGCTAACATGACACTGCAGCTAGAACATTAACGTATTCATGCGTCTAAGCTTTGTATGGTACATATGTACAGGTAATAACACTTAGATACAGTCTCACTTTTAATTATCTGTCTTCGGTTCAGCTGATGTGCTCCTCAGAGCCAGCTGTCGTCGTTTTTCACAGTGCAAAGTGCTTTTGAAGAATAAGCCTGGATGTCATGTATAAAACCCTCTTTTTCAAGATTAGTGTTGCTGTTAGTATCTGATATTATGCTGCTTTTACTTCCCAATTCGCTCAAATCACGTGAAGGGGAATTCAGTGATGACAAATTCAAGTTGATTTTTTCCGCGTCTTCAACGTTTTCATTGGCAACGAACAGAGGAACTGAATTACATCTAGATCGTTTGTCTACGTCATTCTGAGAGGCTGTTTCTTGAATCTTTTCATTTGAGCATACTCCCGTATGACTCGTGAGAAGTAAGCTTAACGTGGAAGATCTGGGTCGCTCCATATTCACTGTCGTCACGCTACCAGGAAAGAGATGAGGATGTGTTAGTTTTAAAACATGATCAGCAGTGAAATGTTCCGATATCCTGCGATCCGAGATCACCGTGAGAGTCGAAGAACATCTTGAGCGATAAGTATCGGCGCGTATTCTTCCCGGGGCCGGCTTACATAGTTCGAAAATCGTTTTACACTTCTTGAAGCAGTTTATCCATATCTGACGGCAATCTTTATTCATGAATAACAAGAAGAAGAAGGCGATGCACACAAAGCTGGGTGCTACGACCATCACTAAAGGAACTATGGTGTTGTAAGTAGGTGACTTGCAGTCCTTTGAGATCTAAATATCAAATTAAAAAAAAGAAATTAAAAGAAAAAACATTAAGGCGCCTTACTTTTCCATATTGCATGAAACTTAAAGGCGCTATGTCAAAAGAATATATATTACTGTTTTAAGTCAATTCTGTAGTAAGGTCATTTCTTACTTAGTGCCTCCCCCCCTCGCCCCCCCCCCGCCCCAATACACAAAATGTTCCAGGTGAGTTATAAAGAAGATATCAAACAAGTTTCGCCAGGAGCATTAACTACGGTAGTTATTTTTCTGATTTACGCAGGCATAACATGAAGACTTGAAAAAGTTGGCCCAAGTTTCCTACCATGTCCTTCCTTGTCACCCGTAGCAACAGATTGACTGACGAGAGAACTAGTGAGAGCCACCTTAAGATCTGTATTATCTGACTCGTCACCAGTCCTCTCTATTTGGATCGCACGCGAGACCGAAGGAAACACGAGGGGTGATGGGAAGGAGGAAAACGAAAGGGAAAGAGAGGGTCTCCCTTCATTCCTCCTTCCCATCACTCCTCGCGCTCCCCCTCGCTTCCCACCTCAATATTAATAGAAGACTGAGAAACCATTGGGAAAGAGTCAGCTGCATTATGAGCAACTAAACGTGGCAGGTTAATGGTGTCCTAGAGAAGCGCTTGAGTCCGTCTCCTGGCGCACGTCGCGTTTTCTTGGAATCTTACCTGAAGACAGTCAAAATAGTCTATAGCCTGGTGTATGAAGTCTCGAGCGCGGTTCATTGCAACAGCATCTAATGCGAGGACCAACCCAACGACGGACAATATCAAGAACGCCATGCTCAGGAACTGCCGCTCCACTCGACGCATGGAGTCTCGCTCTTCTCTCGCACGGATCACGCGTTTAGTTGAATCTAAACGTGCCTGAAAGAAATACAACGCACCCAATCAAAAGTAAACTTCCAAAAAGACTTTGTTTCAAATTGAATCTACGTAAAATAGCGATAATTGAATTTTGACAAACCAAAATGTCTGGAGCGCACCAGTCTGAAAGAGTCTAAAGTATGAGCGCTTGTAGCCCGTGTGAACACTCCTTTATTTCACTTGCTACGAGGGTAAAAGTTTCGATTACGCCCATACCTTTCTAATGTGCCACACAATAGACCACAGCAGACAAAGGGACACACCTAGTGTGACAGTCAATGGCAACGAGATAGCAAAGTAAGCCATCTCAGAGCTGGCAGGTCCCGCAGACATCAGGTCCATGAAGTAAAACTTGTATCCAGGCTGGCAGAAGTATAGACAACTGGCTACAACGACCGCCGGCACCAACCAACCCAACACAGACTGCATGAGGTGGATTTTGATTGGATGTTTAAAGACGGCTCTGTTATGGTGAACAACCACTGCGTAGGTGTTGGCCACGAAGCACATGGACCAGAAGGAATGAGCCAAGCAAAAATAATGTGTCAAAGCACCTAGAAAAAAACAAATGATGAGAGGCAAGTAAGCTCATGGAATTGCTTGGCAGTTTGCATTGATATGCGTCATTTCTCTGTCTGTGTTTGTNAGGTGGATTTTGATTGGATGTTTAAAGACGGCTCTGTTATGGTGAACAACCACTGCGTAGGTGTTGGCCACGAAGCACATGGACCAGAAGGAATGAGCCAAGCAAAAATAATGTGTCAAAGCACCTAGAAAAAAACAAATGATGAGAGGCAAGTAAGCTCATGGAATTGCTTGGCAGTTTGCATTGATATGCGTCATTTCTCTGTCTGTGTTTGTAGTGTAATTTTCGTGTTCTTGCTTAATCTTGAATTTGAAGCTAGCATGCAGTTTTGTGGAGTTGAGTTTGTTGTTATAGGCGTCATAGATTGGGTAAAATCGCTTTATTTCTTGGTTGGGGGTTCTTCACCAGCTTGTGTGAGTGACCATAGAATTGGTAGCCCTCGAACAAGTTCTATCTTTTCTGTTGGCTCGGGGGTACGACACGGGGAAGAAAAAAGAAAACTCATTTTCCTGAATCGAGAAAAGAGATCGCCGAGACAGCTTATTGCTTGGAGGCTGGTAATTGTCATGGATGTCTTACACGTAAGTAAAAGGTGTCCCGCTTTTCCTGTGAAAAGGCCCACGTAACAAACCTACGTCGGGGCCGGAATCCCTCTTCAATTTTCCCCTTACTGTTGACCCTCGCTGTCTCCTGGAGATTTTTATCCCCTTTCCTTAACAAAAACCGTAAAAAAACGATAAAAATGGATGACTCATAGTACCTTGAATCACAGCCCACGTTGAAGATTGTCCTTCCGGGTACCAAAACTTTTCATTCAGACAGAAAGTTGTTTCTGGACGCTTATGAATGGGAATCATCTTGACATTTGCTAAAAGGAACAAAGAAGACGAACGATCAGATTTTCAAAGCTTTCGGACCAGAGGGCATGTTTGTTCGACAATCGTCGGTAGAGTTTAACATAAACTCTTTTTATGCTGGAAAGGTAAACGGCGGGAATGAAAAGATGTCATTTAATGTAAGAGAGAAGCAAATCCAGAATAAGTGGAAGAGGTAAATTCACAGCCGGATCTTGCAGTGAGATTTCTCTAAAGAAGTGAAGCTCAGGACTTTGGTGGGGGGTGGGGGGCTAACATATTATGTCCGGTAGTTTGTTCAAGCGATTTTTACATTCTACCGTCGGTAATATGGGAGGACTTTAGCCACGTCAAAAACGACTATGACAAAAATACCAACAGAGACTAAATCTTACAATATTAATTTATGGCGTCAGTATAAACCACTATATACGATTACTACATATTGTCATACTTACCAAGTACAATANGCCTGTTTCTTGATCAGGGATTAGAGGCGAGTTACATTCCAGCGATTGTCCTGGTGATGTAACAGTAATAGTTAATCTCAAATATATATAATATATTTTAGACGTTATGATTGGTTTAGAGATCATTACGTCAGCTGTAAATAACTCCATGCAAACAATGGTCTGCCCATGCGCGGTAGACAAAAAGAGTTGGTTTGCGATGGGCAATGCTCAGTTGGATTCCGGATTCCTTGAGTTGTATTCCAGATTCCACAAGAAAAAATTATTGGATCCCAGATTCCACGAGCAAAAATTTCCAGGATCTCGAATCCGGATTATCTTATAGGAGGCGATCTGTCTTAAAAATTACACTAATTGTTTTAATACACGTTAGCAGACTGGAATTTTTCAATATGAAAGAGCTAGAAACGAAGCAGAAGGAAAGTAACGAGAAGTTACAGCAGGATTTGCATCACTTAGGCTTTAAGGGGATCGTCACTTTTGGGAGTTAGGAACAGTTGACTTAAACATAAGTGGATAAATGATACAATTCAGGTCAATTCACTTCCATGAGTGTGGGGCGGTTAGGGTGTGGCCCAAACTCTGGGAATACAGAAGAAATAACTTCTTTAATAACAATGAAAATGATTTTGCTCTTACAACATGTATTTAAATCTCGCCAGTGTCAATCATCCACATTTTTTGCACTATTTATTTGTTGGCAATAAGCCCTGAAGCTTGACAGCTAGAGTCCCTTTTCAGTCAGTCTAGAAAAAGGGCCATCATAGGAATACGAGAGGGAGGCAACGAGTACAGGCGCGGATCCACACCGGTTTCCACCGTGTTACGAAAATCGGTTAGAGTTTTCGTAATAAACATATTTTTAATATAGAACTTTCCAAGTTGAAATCTGGAAAATGGTATGGACAAATGTTTTCTTTTTCCAATTTCCAGGCATCAAATGCCCCCTCAATGAATCAAAAAACCGGGGAAGGGAACTTTAGGGAGTTAAGATCTAAAAAAATTCCCGGAGGTGCATCCGGGGGCGCATGCCCCCAAGCTCCCCTAGAAGCTTGCTCCCTCGGCCCCTCGTTTAGGAGATCGGTCAGTATTTATCCTAGATCCGCGCCTGATGACTGCTCGTTCATTCGGCTCACCCGGGCGGCAATCTCGAGGGATTACTTCGAGTCTCAGCGTTCCCCAAGTAGTATTTTCCTGTGACATAATTCTGAGGTCACCATTTTATGGATTGTCACTCCCAGAGGTTTGAACCTTCTGACGTCTTTTATTAGACATCATTTTTTATGTTACTTGGTAGACCCCTGGTGTGTTGTGTTACGAGTTACGGAGAAAAATACCATACGGTTTATTAGTCCTACCTTCATCACCGCGAGTGTTGTTTTTCGCCGTGGGCAGCAAGTTGATCGTTGTTGTACTATTTGTTGAATTTGAGGTAGTTCTGTTGAAGAAACAAGTAGAAAGAACTTAAAATGACACGCCTGGATTAAAGAACTACTAGGACAAAAAGTTGTTCTAACTTTTCTTATTCCCACTCTGACTTATTAATGACACAATACCATACACTTTACACCATTCATCTCTTTTCCCTTTCTTTCTCTTTGCGATATAAGCTACCGTACCTAAGGACATCGAATAAAAGGCGGGAAACCTTTCAAAGAAAGTTAAACTATTTATTAGCTGCTTCTGCGGTACAACTTCTCTTTTTCATCCATCCAAAGACATGTCGATTTGTTTTGTATATAGCGCTATCCAATAGTTAAATCTCGAGTGCCCGAGTCCTGAAGTTGAATCACAGTCACCGAAATCTGCCTCTAATAAAGCTGCAATTTGCCCCAGTGTGTTTCCATGCTGCTGTATCTTGTTGTGACGCCACCGAGGAAAAATGTTTTTGCAGTTCCGTGACGACTGTGTCAATATTATTGAAAAATTTTCGTGTATTCTTATATGACAGCTAACGCGCACATCCTGTTCCGGGTCTTGTGTTTGTTAGAAGAAACCAAACGATTACAACGCATTTTTTGTTTTATTATTTTCTCTGAGTTTGCCACAGAAAGCGGCAAACCACAAAGCTTTAATAAGGCAAGGATTACAAACTTAGTCCTGGCATGAGTAGCATTTTTGCTATTTAAACTTCGTTTGATTATACTTTAAAGCGGATTTAACCTTCATGCCACAAAGTGTCTATGGGTTACATAATTTAAGAAAACAATGCTTTTGGAATGTGTGTGGATGGCATAAAGAATGGGTTTTTCCCTAGAGGAAAAAAGTGACAATCTAGTCAGTATCACTGATCAGTTTTTACGACTAGCGTCTGCGCTCAGACTGGAGATAAATCAAGGCTTGCAAAAAAAGTTCATGCAAATGATAAGGAGAAATGTTTATAATCTTGAGGGATTAAGTCAATAAAATGCTTAGAAGAATGTCAGCAAACAATAGCGGCAACATGCTTTCGTAGTGAGTTGTGCTTGTTCTCGTTCATTCTATAGCTTTTTATTATGTAACTAGCAAAACAACGCATTTTTCCTTGCCCCTTGAATTTCTGTTTTTTTTTTTACGTTATTGACACTTTTGGCGATGGGGAATGAGGGGGAGGGATGAGTGCTGGCATGAGCTGAAGCCTGAAAAAAAAAAGATGCCATCTTCGGAATCATTAGGGAGTACCTTCCCCCCCGGTAGGGGTACGTAGCCCTTATTTCAAGAGAGTGGGAGGCTGCTTGAACATACGTAGTGAACCGATGTCTCACCGGCTTCTCACGATCAAGTGAGGATTCACAACGAGTGATACCTCTCCAGAGGCCATATATTATTTACCCTCCGGGATCTTTAGATTTGACTGTCTACGTGTATGAGATCTAGTATGAGTACAATCTAAGACTGAATTTTGAGCCCGCTTCCTAACAATTCCCATTGCTGAACTTGACATACTAGAATGGCGTATGGGAAACGGGTGTCACTGTGGATTTAACCTAGGCAGGGCACATGAACTTGGTTTGAAAACGTGAACGCCTTGTCCAATCTAAAGGCCCCTACTTTCTTTGTCTTCTTTACAAGGTGAACACTCCTCGAAGACGCCAACATTCTTAATTTTATTTGTCATTTTAATTAGAATAAAAATTGAACTGTTCATACAAATGGAAGACATTGCTCCTCATCTCACGCGATGGAACTCACGCTTGGGGACCGGTTCGTGATCTTAGCACCGTCATTCAATTAGGGTTAATTTAAAATTCTGACTGATATGGTCGAGTAAGAATCTCCGCTATAACCTTAATTATACACCTAAATTTACACCAAAGTTTCTGTAGGGCTTTTAATTTCTGCGGCGTATTTCTCGTCGCTCGTAATACTTCACTGTCTTAACGAGTCGACGAGTAGAATACTCGAGTTTCAGACATATAATTTAACGAAAAATCTTTAGTATTTAATATATTTATTATACAAAGTTCTCGAGACAAAAACACGAAGGGATTAGTTTCGCTTACGGAAGTTATTATCAGCCTTTTGTGCGGCGCGACAGATCACGTAAACTTCACAAAAATCGATATTTAGTATCGATAGGTTAAATTGAAAAATGGATTTTCTTTAAGTATTGACAAAAATATACAACGTTGTTTACGATAGTCAAGGATAACTTTTTGTTAGTATTACTCTGTCTTAGAGATAAAAGGAAAACTCGTACAGTAACAAGTAACTTGCCCTTATGCCCTACAAAAGCAGGCAAAATTCTGAAGGAAAGATGGAATTTTTCTACTCGAAGATTTCAGCCATAAATGGAATCTGAACCACAAGTACCTTGCACTAGCACCGGTATGATACGTGTCAAAGTAGACTTTCTAAACGACATAAGAATTATCCTAAAACAGACAGTGCATAACACCTCCATTGAAGAAATGTTGCAATAAATAAACGAAATGCTTTTATCTCGAGCTGAAGAAGTAGACTTCAAAAGAGTGACGTATTTTAATTACTTGGGGCCGTACTAAGGTAGAGCAAGCGAAAATTAAAAATTCAGTCACGACCACATATTTCGTTCATCCGCCAATCTCTTGAAAGGAAGAGAGACAATAATCAGTTTCAAATTTTAAAAAGTGACAATTTTTGAAAGTGAAATTGCTCACCTTCAGTTTTGGAGTATGGGCATAATGAAAACGAATAACTCTAATTTCAGTTCATACATGAAATCATTGAAAAATATACTGAGAAATGAGCCTTAAGTTTTCGTCAGTTTGCCTTAAATAATTTTTTATACTTCAGTGCTTGTGTATTTCCTTCCAGGCCGGTCTTCCAGTTCCTAACTTGGCCCACAAGACTAGGTCGTTTGACTTCCACAGACCTCCGTTCTTTTGCACGTTCTTTTTTTATTCAAATACATCGAATTTTCTTATATCCAGTTTTTTCTTACCCCGGGGGGACACTCAACAAAGTTTTATACAGGGAGGCTGCTCCCCAAGGTCCCACCCCTAAGCCTTTTCAGAATACCGAAATGACCGATTTCTGAAGCCTTTCATATGCTTCAACTCGTTAAATCCCAAC